TATTAACATACATAAAACAGAATTATATCTATATATTGAATGTGCATAATTCAAAATATTGTTCTGTCTTATTCCAAGGCATAAAAATAAAACAAATGTGGACATTCTGTTAAAATATCTGTATATTCATTTGAGAGTGAAAACACGTGTTGCCTTAGATTTTGTTATCAAGTCCGCATTTCAAAATTAAGCAAATTTCTTTCCCCCTGAAAGCTAAACGTGCTTAGATGTACAATCAACCTAAATCTTTTCAGGTTGAATAATAAAAGGTGTCTGAAAGTACAAGGGGAGAAATCAGGCTGCAACACAAATGCAAAGGGTAGAGCCCAGGGAAGAGCTATCTGGGGAGCACTCCAACACCCCGGGGAAAGAAAAAGAGGTTGAAGCTGGTACAGCGTGAGCTGTAGGCTGCAGAACACGAGGTAAGATCCAGTAGAGTTGGCATGAAATAGCAAGGTGACTGTAGAAAGTAGCTACAGGCGAAAAGACTATAAGGTTACCTTGGAGAAACTGGAAAGTTGAATCCCAGAGGAGGATGTTCCTGAAGCAGGCGGTGCATGATGTTCTTCCAAGCCCATCAAACAAGCCATCTGCTGGGGCAAGGTGAGGTCACCAGGATGCTATCTCTGTACACAGAGTGAGAGCGCTCCATCATGCTAAACATAAGCATGTCAACATCCAATAGTTGCTAATGTGCATGTTAATAGATAGATAGTATGCTGGTAACATGAATGGCTTTTCCTTTTGCGCCAGCTTCAGGCCAAATTCCATTTTGATCCACTTGTTGTTTTCAACATTTAGTATTAATTAGGAAACAATTATTAAATATTTAAAATAATAATTTCTTCCGCTGATAAAGATTATGTGATATGATGGAAATATCCACAACAGCTGCCAAATAGTGCTTGAGGTCAGATTGTGTTTCAACTGCTGTTTCCAAGTGCAAAAATGAAAACTTTTAAAGGGAAAAGTTTGTCCATTCTAACCAGCTCTGTGTCATTGTGTATGCAAATGAACAAGTTGCACCCAGAGCTCCCTGCTCATTTGCTGGCAACAATCTGCCAGATGATGCAAAACTCTAGGGCTGTAGTTAAAATGGGTTCAAATTACAGATTGTACTTCTGCGTTTTTTGTATGGCTGCCTCCACAGAGCTCTGGGTGCAGGCGACATGGAGGGAAGTCAAATATTAATTTACATATACTACCCACATTGTAATGATGCAAATAGGCAACGTCTTCCTTTATGGATGAAAAGTCCTTGAAGCCTGAATTTACGATTCAATGACAACTGAAAAAACTCTGATGAATCATGTGCTATGATTGAAAGCTGGTGTGAGAATCTCAAAATCAATAAATCTAAAGATTGTCAAAAAATTAGCAAAATTGTTCAATCATCTACCCAACAGTTTTGTTCGTGCATAATAAGAGCCTCACAGGGTTGCTATTTAATCCTTCCTACTAAGCTCTGAGTGGTTTCTCCAATTGGTGAAAACAGCTGTCGTTGGGAACAACATGATCTAAGAATAGGAATTGTATAATATGGATTTCTTTCCATTTTCATGGCTTCAGATCTAAGCTTAAGCCTAGGACACCTCCAATATCATTGCTCACATTCACTTGTTTTTACACCCCCAACATGCATTAGTTTTAGATCTATATGATGTCCTGAAAAATTGGAAATTTTAACCTCTCGGGGGCACTTGATGAAATCAGGGGATAAAAGCTGTTTAAATTCATCCCCTTGAGAGAATTTACCTCTAAATCAATATGCCACATAGTTCCTATTCCACAATGGAAGCAGGTAAACGGGCATGCAAGTTTGAGCTTGTGCGTGGCAGGTTGTGTCACAATCAATACACATTTATGTGTTATCATTGGGGGATTGTGCACCTGCAATACTACACAGTGATTATAGTCAACCAAGCCATCTACTACCCCCTGGTTCCCCTTTGTTCTCTCAAGCAATCTCCTTCCATCACAACAAGCTGTCCATTTCTCTCTCCCATTACCCCTCTTTCTTTCTCTCTCCTGGAAAAGCAAACAAGCTCTTGTTGAGCAGCCCCGCTCATTAGCCCCATTGGCTGGACAGCTTTCTCATAAAACAAGCTGGTGTTATGGCAACTCACACTTCACTGGCTGTGCTGCAAAACACTGGTGTAAAAATAGGGGAATTGTTGTAGCAAAGGTTAAAGAATTTACACCAGGTAAAAGAAAGCAAAAAAATATTATTTGTTGTCAGGCTGTAGTCGATAAATAAGAATAAACTATTGGGCTGATTTATGTTAAAAAATATTTGATTCATTTATTGAAGGCTGGTAGAAATACACATCTTCCCTCACATCACATACTCTTCATTACACCAGCTGCCAATGAAATACAAGTTCAGTTATTGCAATTCTTTGTGAAGAAAGGACATATTGTGCTGTCTCACGCAGTCATCCAGCCACCAAACCATGTACGCACACATGAATGCGAAAAAAAAAGCACACACAACCCACCACCCCCCTCCCCATGTTGTTGCATTCACTGCTGCGGCTGCAACAGGAAATGAAGGAAGCCGTATCATCCAGTAATAACACCATGTTGACGATGAAGCTCTGACCATGGATTTAAGGAGAGATGGAAACATAATGATTCAGAGAACAGAACATTCTCCCAACCTGATCAATACACACCAATGTACTGCATCGACAACCAGAATAGAAAACAATCCTACTCTGTTTGTAGCCCACGCATGCATTCACTGCTCATGTCAATCTCTCTACTCTCTTTTCTAATAAGAGATAAAACACGTGTGCTCGCTCTATACGTGAAAACAAGTTTCCCGTGTCAAAAGGACAAGTGAATTGCAGTTTAAACTCTCTGGATTAAGCAGAAGTTGATTCATCTCTCAACCTACAGCCAGAAGTGAAGATCTCATTAACTTAGATTTAATGCCACTGAGCATAAAAGGATCATGGGTTTACATTTCAGCCCCACTTTACTGTTAAGAAAATCGGATTTGGGGTTGTCAAAGTTACATTATCATTGCATGCCAACACATGAATTTCCAACAAACTTCTTGGCCTGAAATGTAAGATTTATCAATTTCCTCGATTACACCTGCCTATAGGTAACTGAAAACAACTAGGATTAAAAAGTCACACCAAGTTCAAAAGCATGCAACACTGCCACCGTATGGACTGAAATATGTATAACAACAAGATAACAAAGAGACAAGGGAGTCAAATCAATGTGATCACGCTGAATAAATCAAATATGGATTTAAATGTTCCACATATGGGATTTTATCTTTACAATGTTATTTTGTTACTGTATAATTTGGATAGTTATACATGTAAACATTCATATATGTTTTTTTTTTTTTTCAGACTAAATGGAGTCTGTTTTCAAGACTTTGTTGTCCAAGTATTATAGCACTGAACTATAAAAAAGTTTACTTCATCAGGGTAGACTTTATTTTATTTTATAGTTTCTGCATTTTCATTCTTTCCCTTTAGCTTTTTAAGCTATTTGTAACAATGTTATTATTATGCTGCCGTAACTTTACAAGTTTTAAATCAGTGTGAAACCATACTAGTCAGGATGGATGTTAACTTTAAGTTGACGCAATGATAAAGAAGTCAATGATGAGAACGACACTTCCTATTAGTTTAATCTTAACATTGCCCTCCTTCATGTTCAGTAAACTTCTTGTTATTTATGTCCTCATGACAGCACCAGCTTTTTGGTACCTCCACCAACAGCTGCAGTGAGTGAATTGGTTATTTAGCTGGTCATTTGCAAAGCCCAGCAGGCCGGGACACATTAGCTAGACTTTACAGTAACTTTAGCTTAGCTACGTGGTTAAGTCTTACGTACCAGCTGATGTGATGTTTCAGACCCAACTTCATGATTCTTCAAATTTTCTAAATTAGTACCTTTCCTTTAATATCAACATGTACTATGAAAATGGTCCCCTACTCTTTTCCCTTTTTCTATCATTTAGTAAACTTATGATTCCTGTGACATATTTTATGGAAATTTAATACTGTATTCAAAACTGTATAGTTAGTGTTAAACTTGATTTGGATTCATTTTGAACAGATTATTTCCTGTTTAGGGAACTTTTTATACAATTCTCTGTCTCTATTGTGTATTTTATATAATTTTTGATAATCTTACAGAGTAAACAGGTTTCTTTTTTGACAAATTACAAATTCTCCATGACACTCGGCCATTGTTCTAATAGACAATTTACTTTTCTTCACAAAATACTGAGATATCAGCCTACTGCATATATTATTAAGGCTTTCCAGCACCCTTTACAATCAAGAAGGTCTCACAACCCCTCATGAAGCTTCGGTGACCCCTAGCAGGAGTCCCTACCCCCAGGTGGGAACCGTTGAACGATACATTTGTGACCATAGCACTCTGTGTAGAGTATTGTATAGCTAGCAAACCTAAGTACCAGAAGCCACTCATGATACTGAGAGCATCAACTACAGAAGTGTAAAGTAACTAGGAATAAACTGCAATTTTGCTACTTCAAACTTGCTGAACATTTACATTTTTCCCCTGGTATGTTACTGAGAAATCCACCTTCCTTCTGGTAGATTTATAATCACAATATGTGTTATTACACTGTTTTAAATGAATACTGAACGCCTGAAATGATTGGGGTACTAACATAGCACTCCAGGACCCCGATGGCATAGCATGACCCCTCACCTCTGCAGCCAGAGCGCTGACCTCCTCCTTTCGAGATACAACACTGCCCTCCTGTGGCGCTCACCAACTATTACAACCGGTAAAGGACACATATCCCTTGCTCAGGCTGGAGGATACAGCGGGTACCAGAAAGTGCAGCCACGGTAGCAGTAAGTTGGACGTTGACAGCGAACATAATCGGGTTTTTCCCCAGTTATAAACTTTATATTGTTAACAAGGCATGAGTTGTGCAATGCAGCCACTGCGGAAGTAGGATGACACCTTGTTGTGGCTCGGTCACATGGTGGTTGGATGGTCAGTCGTGAAAGCCACATCAGTGTGTACAGACGTGTTAACCAGGCTGTCAGTGTGTGACCACACATCACCGCCGACCTGCTGACACAGGGGATTCCCATCTCAGTATGCCTCACAAGAGCAAAAAAGAAAAGGTAAAATTGTTTTGTTTGTTTTTTTTTTACATTTTATATTAAATGTTAGAATAATATAATTCATGTTTAATTTTGTTTTACTGATTCTTCACTTTTTAGGAGTCCTCCAAATCTGGAAAATCTAAAAGATCTGGAGGTAAAAATGGGCCTGCAGACGACCAAGATGTAAGTATTTTTTAACTTAACTCTTTGTAGAGAGGAGTTAAATTGACAACTTTATAAAAATAAAACACATATAAATATGCATTACTAGTACGTAGAAAATATGATGTGCTACAGAGTGTGAGTGTTATGATTATTGTAAAGATCCCCTAGGATACTACAACAAATACCATACATGCATATTTGTTCTAATATGGATGTTATAGAGAATCATAATGGAGCCCAAACTCCTAAATTAAGTTTATTTTGTGATTTATTTTGTTTGTTTTTCATATTAATTGGTGTCATAATGAACAAACAGCCTAATGAAGGGGTTCAGTGGAAACCTTTGGAAGCCAGTGTTTAGATTTTGCTCAAAGGCTTCACTGTAATATTATAATATTATACACACACACGTTAAACATGTCACTTGCAAATTCAATATTATTATTATTATTATTATTATTAATAATTAATTAAGTAATTATATATTATATTTTACATTCCCTGGAGTTTACTTTTGCACATGCTTCCCATGGCCAGTTGTGGACAAGTTCCCTAAAAACTCCCTCTATTTGTGTTAAAGTTAAATTACCTTTTGTCCTCATAAAAATGAAGGAAAAGTTGCTCATGTGACATCCCAGCATGATCTTATGACTTTATTTTCCCTGAATTTATCTATCCCTAGTTCTCCCCCATCCTGACTTGTTTGGCCTCTGAGCATAATACGAGGCATTGTAGCAGCTATTTTTGTCCTTACCATTTCTGATGTGCATCAGTGATGCTGAGTATAGTACATTGAGATTGGAAAAGACCTGATTGATTGACTGCTGGACCTGCTGTTTGTTCCCATTGACAGCTTTATCAGCTCCATCTGTGCTCAATTATTCTGTCCACTGAGGTCCATCCCAAACTCTGTCAACAGATGCAGTACAGTACACCGCTCTCTGTGATCAGGTTGCCTCGCAGAGAATCACCTGATCTGATTCGGAAAGGAACTTGACCCTTAACCACAACACCCTCACCTCTTCTCCTCTCCTTTCGTCTCCTCTCCTCTCCTGTCCTCCCCTCTCCTCCACTCTCCTCTCCTCTCCTCTCCTCTCCTCGGACTCCACAGTGACACTTGATTAAAGTGATTCCTGTGCCATTTACTCCAGGGCAGGAACTACCTTGCTCCAGTAACGGGAGCCCTTCCTCTGCGACTCTTGTTTCTGCAGGGCTCCAATAAGAAAGTGCCTCCCGCAACTCAGCTGATGAGGGTGAAGCAGCCAGGGTCACATTCGGCCATGAAGAGAGAGAAGAGGTTCAGCACTTCCTCTTTCCCCCTCAGTGCTAACAGAGAGCTACACAAACTACTTGCACTGGCAGGTATGCCTCCCTCGATATACAGTATCTCCATTAGGAGCGATCACTCTTTTCTTCAGCTCCTCTGTACTCATATACACAGATAATATTTTATGCTTCTTCTGGAAAATGCTAGATGACCTTTATCTAGGATTGCATGTTTGGCCTATATGGATAAAGGAAATCATATTAACAATTCATAGCCTTGGTGGATCCTCATAACCGCCTTTTTAACCTTGAGGTCTTTGCTCGCTACATAATTTATAGCTAAGCAGACTGCCCATCAGCTTTATCTGTGATGCAAATGATGTGCAATCAGCTGCATCTCCAGCTGTACCTGAAAGAAACAGATATAACCCCCGGAGGGCTCGCTCATGTAAGGTAACTCTGACTCAGTCTGCATGGATCGGAGACTAGGAGACAGTGGTGGATTGTGGGCAATCCTATAATAACTCAAACCAAACAGAAACTGTAAACTCGGACATATGTTAGATCATCAGCCACCTTAAGAGTCCTTTAAGAACTTCAGTCTATAGAGCACTTTAGCACAAGGCCGACCAAGAATATGATGGCATGAATAACTGTGATGGGAAATTTGGACTTGTTCCAAAGTTATTTTAGTTAACATGAATCATCAAACTAACCATCACAACTTATAGCAAGGTAGCTGATCCAACTGTCAGTGTTTTAATTTACTGCATTGATTAGTCTGTATTAGTATCACACTGATGCCGATTCTGAGACGAGACAGTAAGGTTGAGGTTTGAACATTTACATCAATCTTTCATGGCTTCTTTGTTTACACACAGCATTACAGGCAGGATCTGGCCTAAGTGGTTTCCTGTAAACCATACCGAGCTATGCTTTGTTCTCATACCTGGATGAGCCGGGTGACACAGCGGAAGAACAATAGAGGTGCACAGTCCAGAGGATTTGCAAGTTTGAGGGAGACACGGCCGCAGTTGGCGACGTGTGTGACGATGAATCAAAAAGAATGATGGATAATAAGTTGGTGTCTTGGCAGTGGATTTCTGTGAGCTTTAAGAGGAAGACTTGAGGGGAAAAAAGAATGGGAGGACTGAGAAAATCATCTCCCTGACCCTGCAGTGGATGGTAGTGACCTAAAGAAACATGCATGAACAGGCAGGGCCTTGAATATCAACACAAATTACTCTCCTGACAGATCAAGGACTGCTCTGTGATTTTAGGCTCTGCAGTCAAGATAACTACTTGTGACTGTACTAGTGACTGTAGTTGTAGTATGCACTGTAGTATTTGTATCTGTTTAATATATTCTTCTAATTGAAAGAGTAGACACTCAGATTTCAGACATGTAAACATATGTGAACTAGAACTATTTTAATAATTGATTAATTGGTTAAAATGTTACCCAAGATGTTGTTTTTTTCTCTCTTTCTCTATCCTAAATTTAATATCTTTGGGGATTTGGACTGAAAAACAAGACATTTGAACTTTGAGCATTTACAAAGACACTTACAAACAAAACATCAGACTAATCACTAATATAAATCATCATTATAACAACTCAACAAATATTGAAATCACATTTAGCACATCTACTAGTGAAATCTTTATTTTGTTTTGATTTATTTCAACAGGTGTCAGTTCAACATTTGTGACACTAAGAGCAAACTGATCATTATGTTTTAAAAAAATTAAGAAATAAGATTAATTTCTCCTTACTTGATGACACACAGCCTGATTTGTTGCAGATTTTATTTGTAGAGTTTGTTATAGGAAAGGAATTTCTTTCATTTCAATGTAATTTTTATATTTTATATTGTTTTCTAACAAATGTTGCTTCCTCTCTTCCCCGCGGTATATACGCTGTCTTATATGTCAATATGTGCTCGATATTTGTGTGTTCATGACACCAATAAACAATTGGTGCGACTGTAGTTAATGAAAATAGAACTGCATAAGAAATATCACTTGGAGACCAGAATCAGGACACAGATGGAGTACAAGAGAAGTCAGAAAGATATTTGTAAATGGATTTTTGTTTGCAGCTACAAGAGCTATCCATTTTTACACAGACATCTCAAAATGGTCATTCATTGCCACAGGCTTCTCTCTGAATGTGTGTGTGTGTGTGTGTGTGTGTGTGTGTGTGTGTGTGTGTGTGTGAGAGAGAGAGAGGGGGGGGGGGGATGTAGGACTATAAATGTCTGCGTTACAGCATCAAATGAAATGGCACAAATATCTTGATTATGGAACAAACATGAGACATTTTATCTCCCTTTTTATACCAGGTGACCGCAGTTGACAGAGCCTTTTTTGCTGCTGTGAACCAAATTTTGTCAGCGGGGCAATAATGCATGTTTGATGAAGAAGGGTAAACAGTACGTTGTTCCAAGTGTTAGTGAAACATTTAGTGATGAGCTTGTGTTACAGATAACTGTTGCACAAACGGCCCCAACCTGTGCTGCCACCTTCTGGCTGAAAATGGGAATTCTGTTGTCATACTGTAAAAGTCAGCTGTTAGAGTAAAAAGTTGAGAATTTTAAATGTATTTTGGTATAATGTCTGGTCTTTTTATTTGAACTGTGGCCATAACAATAAGGCTGCCTGAATTACTCTGTGAAAAGACCAATGTGTTAGTCTACCTCTCAACACTTTCTGGCTTCCTTGCCCCGGCCTGTGGCGCTCAGCTGCGAGATTAGATGTCCCAACAGGTTGCATACATATTGTTTCATGTTTAAAAAGGGCTGGTCAGCAACATTGCTCGAAGAGCAGTAAATAGTGCATTGTTTAGGGATTATTTTCAACCGCAGGTTAATATACATTTGTGTGTAAATGAGTATTTGCAGCATCAGGGTGGTGTGTATGTGGACTCAAAATAAACTACAAAGAGGTAATGAAGGAACGCATCACCCAGTGCAATAGTCTTTATAATTGTGTTTGGACAACAATGTTGCACAGAGGAATAGGACATATCAGGCCACACAAACAATACTCGTTAGTAGGATCATGTCAGTTTTGGTCTTTTTTCATTGGGTTTGTTGACAATAATAAAAATACAGAATATTACTTTTGTCTAGTTCTGGGCTATGCCTGTACCCGTGCACACTCCTACCCCAGCCTGTCAAACCAGTAGGAAGTAAGTGGCAGCTTTTCAGAAAATACCGCCGCCCGTTGTCATGGCTGTGGAATGTAATGGCACCTCTTGGAGAGGCTTTGGCCCCTCAGTGAGAGAATGCCAAGAGAGAGAACTGCTTACTGATACACTTGGCCTTCCTCTCCTCTCTTCCTTTTTCTTTCTCCTTGTTGCACTGTCCAAATATACCTCTGTGTTTTGTGGAAATAACCTCAACAGTCCAAGTTATTACTACGCCTGCTGAGGCAGAAAGTACCTGTAAAAACATTTTTTTTACTTCCCAGAATATTTCAGATATATCATTGGGTCGTGCGTCTTTAATACATATGCATTTATGTCTTATGATATGCATTTAAAGGCGTTCAGACCTCAAACTTTTACTAGAATTTGGTGCTTAGTAAGTGGCAGGACCCTCATTGGTGGGCTAATTAGTAATAAGTTAGATAATCGTCTGACATTGTCATTGTTGTTGGAAGACAGCACAGTCCCATTGTTATTAAATGGCTGTGATATGACTGTGAAGGTGGTGTGGAGCCCCACTGTTATGAAAAACCCTGGTTGGCCTTGTGGGTGCAAATGTGGTTTCACTTCGTGTCTTCTGATAAATCACATGAGACGAGGGAATGCTACTTCATTATGCAAAGATGAAATGCAGATTATGCGTTTGCCGCCTTGGAGCTGGACTTATTTTGGTCTACAGATTCTTGAAATAATCATTCACCAAGGGGTTAGTCTGCAACCTCTATATCATTGAACGTGTCATATATGACAAAGTGTATGATATTGATGGTAAAGTCATGAGATAAACTTTCAGACAGGCAGCTAAATACTGCTTGGAGCTGCAGCAGTTTCCTGCGCTGCATCGTTTAATTTTCTGTCCTCTTGCTTTCGTTTCCTGTTTACAGCTAATTTTGTACGCACATGTACGCCACTCAGAGTATAATGCAGCAAATTCTGCCATTGACCCGAATAATGTGTGAGTCATATAGATTATGTAAAGCCACCTTCATCCTTTTTTTTTCATTGGAGTACCAAGTGTGTACAGTACATCCAATTTATGTCGATTTCTTATTATATATTTTTTTGATTCATGACACTACACCACACATTTACATGTTCTTTCATCTTGTGTAAGGAACACCGCAGCTTTTTTTTTTTTTTTTACAGAATTTATTTGTTTTTGTTTTTTGCTGAGAGCTCCGAACTTTAAGTCCCCTACAGCCCTGTCTTCAGCCACCCATGTGGTTTTTTTTCGTTCTTGAATCCAAAGATTTGAGGGGCCCCTTCTGACCCTCTCCAACACCTCCCTTTGATAAAGAACCAAGCAGAGATGACAGGAGGAAACAATGAAAGACTTTGAAAATTCAGCCAGGGCCTCTCTCTCTCTCTCTCTCTCTCTCTCTCTCTCTCTCTCTCTAAACACACTTAGATTAAGTTATTTTCCAGCTGCTTATCCTAAATCAGATTATGTTCGAAACCCTGCTAATGGTTAAACTGTGGAGAAGATTTAAGTCAATCTGATCTAAGATCTGTAGCAGGGCCTGGCTTGCAGAGCGTCACCAGAGACCAGTGAGTGGGGAGGAGGAGCCGGACCAAAAAAAAAAGATTCCAATGCATGTCCCGCCCCCTGAGCCTCCTCTCAGCCAATCACGTTCCCTCTCTCCCGGCAGCCGTTGCCTTGATTGCTCCAGAGCCGCCCGACCTCGGCCAATCAGCTGGCTCCCTCGCTGCTTACATCACTAACTAGCCAGTTCCCTCCAGCAGCAGCAGAGCTTCATTTTCTGATCTGCTTTTGTGCTAAAATGGAGGCTGGCCTCTCGCCCTGAGTGGATCGCCTTCCTGGTTGAGGTTTAGATGTTGACATGCAATAAATCTGGAGACAGGATGGTTGTGGATGCACCTAATTCCAATGGGCCCTTTCAGCCGGTGGCTCTTATGCACTTCAGAGGTACGTACGGACGAATTATTCTTCCTGTATTGTCCTAGGGAATTAAGGAGAGAGAGAGAGAGAGAGAGAGCTGTGTGTTGCTGTGCTCCTGTTCCCCTCCACTGGTTACTGCCTGGTTAGTCAGCATTCAGCCGACTGAGATAAGACATTTGTGTCTGTGGTTTATAGAAAGCAGCTCTTTCGCGTTTGAAAGCGAACCGAGGGGGTTGTTGTTGTTGTTGTTGTTGTTGTTGTTTTTAAGGCTTGTGTGCATTGCTGTGAGACACGGGAGCTACATTACAAAAATCTGGTTTTACTAGCTAGCTGCTCTCTCTGCCCATCCCCCCGCCAAGCTAGTGATGTCAAAGGAAGTGAGGTCATAGCCTAGGGAAGGGTCTTCTCCTTTTAGTTTTTCATGTGTTTGAGTGCAATGGTGTTTCCGTATTTATGCGTGTAATTGTTTATGAAACATTTGAGCAGAGGCTACAGAGGAATTAAATATCGTCTCCCCTCTTCACCTCCTCTTAGTTCTCCATCCCGACCCAGCTCTTTCTGTCACAGTCCAGTTCATCTGGGCACAAATTGGTCACAGTGTGTAGGCTGTAGACAGCCACTGCTCTGCAGCAAGAAGCAGCAGCCCCCTTCTCCTTCTCCCTCTCCCCACCCTTTTCCCATGTTACCCTCCTGTCAGCGACATGCTTAGGCAAGGAGACTAAATCTGAACGTGTATCTTAATTGCATATCTATGTCAACAAAGCACTGCTGTCAATAAGGCCTAGTCTTTTTAATTTTTTTCTGTCAGAGCATAGCAGTAATGTTTTAGGATTACAGCATCGGCTCGGCCTCTTAATGTGTGTACAATGTACCCAGTCATGTTTGAAAGGCCCAGCCTGTTACCACTGTACTCGGGTGCAGCCCAGCGTTAGATGAAGCCTCGGGCAATTATTGATTACACTCTATTGAGCCACAGAGGCGACTGCCTTGAATGACAACTCAGTGTTGGGGAACAATCAGACTCTCTCTGCCTCTTTCTCGTTCCTCTCTTTGTTTGTCTCTATCATTCTCTCCCTGTTCAGACCAGATGTGCTGTATCCTTTCCACTTTGTGTCTGGATTCAGTTGAAACAGATTATACCCGCCATCTGAATGTGTATCAATTAAATGTAAGAGTCCCTTCCCTTTTCACATTAGATTTTGTACATGGGAAACTTAAACTAATACTAAACCAACATAAATGGATATATGTCTATTTGTACATGGATATACCATACACAGATATGTACTAGACTTAAAAACCAGGCATCTATGTTCATTAAGTTTAGACAAATGCGCTTTGTTTGTGATATTTTTCTAAACTTCACACACGCAAATGTGTAGGTGGCTCTTTCAGCGTTGTGGTTGAAGCATTTGCATTCACACTACACACAATCAGGCTTCACATCCCAATTCATGCTTTTATTTAGAGCCATGATCATCAGACCTTTCAGACTGTGTGAACAGGGTCTCTGAATCTCCTTTTCTCTGTCCGTTTCTTTTGAGACGTAAGACATCATCTTAATAACAGACACTGCATTATTAGTCACAAGGGAGCCTCTAAATTGCAGTGCAATTGCAAGTGTGGCAATGATGCATATCTTTAACTATTCACAAACAGCACCTGGTCAATAATGCATGAACTTTGCTCTACTGTATATATCCTGGATGCATTCTTAGCTGTTGCTTACCAAAACCATATCAATGAATAAATGTGTCCAACCTAGTCGCTCATAAGCCTTCAAAAGTGCAACACGCTGCCCCTCTACCCAGCTATAAATAGTAATCAGTCGATGTTTACATTGATCATAACATACTGTCGATAAAGCAGATTGCCAAACCAGTTCTAACTCCAGACTAGCATCTGTTCATTTGACCCATTTACAGACAAAAAGTAGAGACTGTGGTTCCAATGTGACTCCAGTTATTTATTATCTTTGTTTTGAATAGGGGGCATTAAGATAAATCTTCCTCTGTTCTCCACAAGACTTGATACTCGTGTGTTTGCATGCGCATGCTTGTTCCCCTCTTAGGGCTTCTGTTAGTTACATTAATAGAGGTCACATTGTGGTTAACATCAATTTTGGGATCACAACACTGGGCCTTTATCTGTTACACAACAACCCGCTGGGGTATTTTAGGAGTGTACAGAAACTTTATAACGCAGGCAGACAGACTTATGTAATGGGAGCAACGTAAGTCTGACACGGTCAGGGGTGCAAGGCATGGCAACACATTCCAGTCCGGCTTCATGTCCCAGTACAACCAGTACAAATTCCAAAATGTGTTAAAACGCAAACTTTGTGCCAAGGAGGGAGGTGATTCAATTTGCGGAGTTTAGTGTTGAAAATAGAAATAAACACTAATGAATAACTGGTAATGTGATCCTTCTCCTCACTGGTGCTGTGCCAGTCGTCTAGTGCACCTCAGTTGACCTAACAGGCCTCACACTTTGGAAACAATCCCTAGTAGATTTGACTGCATAATAAAAATGATAAAGTTTAGATGATAAATATCTTGGATGAACCTCTGCCTCTTATGTGTTTTTAATCAGGAGTGCTGGCTCTCGCAGTGTTTTCCTGTTGTGACAGTGACAGTGCTTTTGGCTGTCAAATCTTTAAGGGAATGGCCGATAATGGCCGCTCACACACTTACCCTCTCTCCCCTGGAATTCCCAACCTCTCACTGTCATCAAGATAAATTGGCCGACTTGAAACTGACACTGCAGAAGTGTGTGTGCGTGTGTGTGTCCGAGCCAAGTCTCCATTATGTCTGAATAGGATATCTCTCTTCTTACCTAGAATCTGCCTATTTGCAAGAATGTCAAGCGTGTGTGTGTGTGTGTGTGTGTGTGTGTGTGTGTGTGTGTGTGTGTGTGTGTGTGTGTGTGTGTGTGTGTGTGTGTGTGTGTGTGTGTGTGTGTGTGTGTGTGTGTGTGTGTGTGTCCTTCTCTATTCTTCACCATGGCCTTTGTTACTCTTTGTGTACTTTAGTTGAAATTAGGGCAGGAGTGAATAGGTTTAGCTGCCTATTATTTTCCTGTAAGTGTCTGTATTAAAGTTTTCTTTCTTATTGACCACCTACATGGCTGAATTGGGGTATATATTGTATGCCAGTTTGTGTAATTGGTCATTACTTGGTCAGTATAATTAAAACACGATGGAAGGCAGCAACATAACTAGAAACCAAATTAGTTTATCTGAGAGTAATGTGTTTTTTAAATATACATATTCTGCATTCACATAGCATGTTTGCAGTGCTCTGATTGCCGTCATCAGTTGGTTATTTATTTTTTTCCTTATTTAACCCTGTGCCAAATGTATAACTCATGATTTGTCTCACAGCTTGATTTGCTTATCTCTGTATTTGCTAAGTATCCTACCCACAGGTTACAGTACGGTGATGGAGGAGGAATAAGATTCATCTAGTTTGTTTCCCTTTGACGTATATGCCATATATATATATATATCTGATAAAGTCTAACGACCTCATCATGTGCAGACAGCCCCAGAGCCTCAGTGCCAACTCATTGTTAACACCACGCCCTTTACTGATAAATAATTATGGCATATAGGAAACATGGCATTTGGCTACTGTTCTGACTTGTTGAAGTTTAAGACCACAGACAATGGATTCATATATTTCGTTACATAAAGATTATATGAATGGAATGAACTCACTGCCCTACCTTACACCCTTCAGTTGCATTGTAACTGTGGATATATTGGTACTATAGTGGTAGATTAGTATTTGATTTCAGAGAATTTCTTCTTCAGAGGCCACTCTGGTTGCAGAAAAACCATGATGTAAAGCTGCTGTAGGTGTCATGTGCTGTGTGCGTGTATCTTCCTAACCTCATCTTCTGTCAGCTGCACAAAAGGTTACCAGCAGAGACACTAATGAAATCATAAATATGAGTCTAGAAGACTAACCACATTTATGTCTTATGTTTTGTTGGTGCTTTGTAAATCACTATCAACCAAATGAGACCGTCTTGATCTGACAGACCTCTTATCTGTGTCGCATGCAGCTGCTTCTGTCAGTTAAATTAACCCACACATGAGTTTAGCGCAGGTGTACGTTGACGTTATGAATTTGCCTATTTTATTACAGCTGCAGCTGGGCTTGTACAGAATTGGATTTAGATCAGGTCGTCCAGGGAAGAAACTTGAGATAACGATCTTTTAAAAACATGTCTGTTTTATTGGGAACTTGATAATCTATAAAGGGGAAGCAGATGTTAATGTGAAATGTAATTTTAATGCCTTATTTGCATTTTACTGTACTACTATGTAACACCACAAACTTGATTGTGTCTGCAGAAAGAGCTACACTGACAAAGGTGGCACTGGCTCCAGAGTTTGCACTGTGACTCTTCTTTAGAAAACTAAAGTTGAGCAGGTGTAAATCCCTTTTAGCAATTATTTGTACTGGTCTTTTAGCAGTAATTTAAACTCTTGATAAATACTCCTATTTCCTTTCTTGCAGAGATCTTATTTAACTCTCAGCATGAAAGTGAATTTTATTTAACTCTCAGCATGAAAGTGAAAAAGTACATCAGACAAAATGCTCAACTCTCCCCTTTAAAACAGTTTATAGCATCATATAAAGCAACTCCAAAAAAATCAACCTTGTGCATTTTGGATGTTCAGATCCTCATTTACTTTTTAATTTAATGAATTGCACCATACTAGTGGTTGTTTGGGTCGCTGGCGAACATGTCTAGATTTTCCTCAAATGTGACTATCAAAGATAAAACCAAACATCAAAGTTGTGTCTCATAACTAGATAATAATGGTGTCACTGTGTGTTATTACTATACCACACGAGCAGGTAGGAATTAAGAGTTACCAAAATGGATGTTTCCTCTTTGTGTTGTCATGTGTGAAGTGTTGACTCTGGCAGAGATTGTTTGTTTACAAGCCTGTGCTCTTGAGTGCTCGGGTGGAAATGAAGCGAATCAGGAAGTCCTCAAACCACCATGGACAGATATAATGACAGACTTAAATAGCTTGGTTTCTTTTTATAAAAATATCTTCCTTTTTTTCTGTGTGTGTGTGTGTTTGTGTGTGTCAATGGCTAGACTGTGACCATTCACCTAGTTCCCAAATCCTTCATCCTCCTCTCCCTCTCCATCCTGTCATTGCTCCTCCACTCAGCTCTGTCGTTATCCTCCCCCTGGGCTCTAACCATCTCAGCCTTTCTCTCAATGCACTTTAGTCCTCATGACTCATTTGCCAGTCTTCATCACTCTCTTGCTGCCTTGTACTTCTTTTTCTATCATATTGCTGTTTTAACTGACATCTTCGACAGTTACACCGCCCCCTCTTTTCTCTTGTGACCCCTCACTCTTTGAACATGGCTCCCTTCTCCAATACTCTCAACTGCTTTATTTCATCACCGCTGCGTGGCCGCCTTGCACATTGTACTCCCCTTGTGGTCGTTCATTCAGTCGTCCCTGGACTCTTTTCCCCTCCTTCGCCCACATCACCTCACTTTTTCCCTCTTTGTCTCCTCAGATGTGGCCCCCGCAGAGCAGGAGAAGCTCTTCATCCAGAAGCTACGACAGTGCTGCGTTCTTTTTGACTTCCTGTCCGACCCGCTGAGCGACCTAAAATGGAAGGAAGTGAAGCGGGCGGCGCTGAGCGAAATGGTGGAGTACATCACCCACAACAGGAATGTCATCACAGAGCCCATCTACCCGGAGGTGGTGCACATGGTCAGTAGAGGCGGAGGCGGTTAAGTTTTGCGGTTAAAGCCGAAGACGAGGGTGAAATTTGGGTTGAGAATTAAGGCCAGGTTGTGGCTGCAGGACAGAGGCGGTAGGAGTTGAGCACAGATTATACAGTGGGTTCATGTCACCAGGGTTTGCATGGTAGCACACTCATTGAGAGCATGTTAGCATATTGGTGTTAGCACTTAGCTCAAAGTACAGCCTGACAGAGCCGCTGGCATGACTGTAACTCTAAATAGGTAAAATGGAAAATGATGATTCACCTGCGTTTCACCTCAAATAAAACAAACACATTTTTGTCCAGGGATGTGTACACCATTTTTATAGAACTATTTTTTTTTAAATACCTTTTACTAATTTTGAGTAATGCTGCTGAAAGTCTCTCCACTGGTAGACAGGATGTGGTTAATGATTAATTTTCCACTAGAAGCAATAGTAATTTGTGTGAATTTTGAAATCTAAAGGAAAATTTGCTTAATATTTGATTTGCAACTGAACTTCACCAGCAGAGAAGAGGAAATTATTATGATAGATGTATCTTCTTACAAATCTTCAGTGTGTTTATTCACAATCTTTACTGTGTAGAGATACAGAAATTGAGCTATAAATATGATGAAAACACTGTAGTCTAGTGAGATACTCTTTCTTCACCACTAATGCCAAACTCTTCATCATCAAAGCCAACAGCATTATTGCTATAATCACAGTTATGACATTTCCATTTAGAGTCTCTGTTGTGGAGTTAATGCACAGTCATCTTCACAGCCTTGTTCTGGGTTGAAGCACAGCACAGCACAGACAGTCTATCTACCTTGTAGCCTGTCTTTTCAAACAAGGCTCCTAGTGTTTTAGTAGGCCACCTGCACTGTCCCATGATCTGCCTGGCAGGGAACAGCAGCCCACAGGGGAGTCAGTTGACACTGTGAGAGACCAGAAACACAACACACTTGGATTATTGTGGGCTCAAACCCTTGGAGGCCAGTTACAAGGACAAAGTTAACATTAACCTAAAAAGAAAAATTATTTTAGAATACCTAAGATAGGGCATTTCATAGACACTTGCAAACATGGCAAAATTTTAGTTAAATGTATTACAGACTCAAGCATCTACTACACATACTTTTTGTATTTCCTTCACTGATTTTGATCACGAATTGGCAGAAAGTTCCTAATCATTTCACACAAGGAACTAGGTAGGAACTGAATAAATGAGCTGCATTCCTATATGATACCGGCATTTACAATCAAGCTTTAAGCAAACTTAACTGCCTGTGTGCAGACTTGTCCCAAAGGAGACACTGGTAACCACAATGCTGCCAGTACTTTAATTGCATGGATTGTTCTAAAACGGTGCATTGTTCAAGCAAAGTATAGGCAAATTAAAAAATCTGTTGCGTTGGAGATGTTCTCCAAATTCAAGGTGCAGTCTACTGATGTGGTTTCACTGTTGGTTTAACCATGTGTCATGACAGTAAACATTTATTCAAGTGTGGGGAAACTTCTGACAGGAAGTCGAGGTCTAGCTGGGTGTGTTTTTTTTTTTTTTTTTTTTTTTACTTTTATAACCTATTTAGACTAGAACTAGCATTGGCGAGGTTGCACTACAAACTCTGACTTCGGGTTATTAAAACAAGAAAAGGAAGTCAAGTTAAACAGCGTACTCTCCAGTGGAATAAACATGGTATCATTTTGTATTTTTCTTCTCTTCCAGTTCGCAGTGAATATGTTCAGGACGTTGCCTCCGTCGTCCAACCCTACTGGAGCCGAGTTTGACCCAGAGGAAGATGAGCCGACACTTGAAGCTGCATGGCCGCACCTCCAGGTTGACATTTAAATCATTTAATCATCTGCACAGAGAGGTTTATAACTGGTTATTCTCCACCTAGAGGAGCCTCCCAGCACGATGGAAGCATGCACTTCTGTAGTTTGCTGTGTGATTCCTTTTATGTTCACGTCTGTATCCGATTTAAATTGGTGTATTTGGTGTTGGAGCATTTGTGAACATTATGAACTCTTAAATTCCTCCCAAACATTCATTCCTTTTCGTGTTTTTCTTGTTTCTGTTGCAGCTCGTCTATGAATTTTTCCTTAGGTTTTTAGAATCGCCCGACTTTCAGCCTAACATAGCGAAGAAATACATCGACCAGAAATTTGTTATGCAGGTAAGAAAGGAAAATTCTTGGCAAACTTTCTAGACTGTAAAAAATAAATTACAAGATACAGTTTGCTGTCATTACGGTAACATTTGACCTCTCTCGCATTGTAGCTCCTAGAACTATTTGACAGTGAGGATCCCAGAGAGAGAGACTTCCTCAAAACTACCCTCCACAGGATCTATGGAAAGTTCCTGGGACTCAGAGCGTACATAAGAAAACAGATCAATAACATTTTCTATAGGTCAGTGCTGTTCTCCCACTGCTCTTAAACGTGTATACCAGGATAGATGGTCAACTTCTGACTCATTTGTTTGGATAGTTCATACAGAGTCTGTGTATTGCTACTGAAAAAGTTTGTTCTTGCAGGTTTATCTATGAGACAGAGCACCATAACGGTATAGCTGAACTACTGGAAATACTTGGAAGGTATGGCCCTTTGCTAAAGTTACAAGCTTTGGTGAATGTAATGTTTGTCTTAAATGTAAAAGTTTCCTAATTATTAGCTGTTCAGTCCCACACTAATACTCCTTCTTTTCATGCGTTCTGATGGTTGTGCTTTTGTGTTCATTTCTTAGCATAATCAATGGATTTGCCTTACCACTAAAAGAAGAGCACAAGATTTTCCTGTTGAAGGTTTTATTGCCTCTGCACAAAGTCAAATCACTCAGTGTCTACCATCCACAGGTGCGTCTGTTTAACACAAAATGAAGTGTGAGAATCTGTATGGAAAGTGAGATATAGCACATATATAATTTACAGGTCAAATATTGTTAAAGATGTATTTAGATATTCATGTCCAAACCTGCTTTATGTTCAGGTTTAGTGAAAAACTGGTGTTACATGTTGCAGCCAGTCTGTCCCTCAGGCATCACATGTACCCTACCGTGTTACCTTTAGTTTGCTTGTGCGTAAATTAAAACGCTCTGACAGTTTAATGATTGTATTTGTTTATGTGTTTTGCAGCTGGCCTACTGCGTGGTGCAGTTCTTAGAAAAGGACAGCACTCTAACTGAGCCGGTATGTCAAACAAAATGTCATATTCAATCATTTCCATCTCTTTCCATAATACTGCTTACTGAAGCTCCTGCTGCTAAAATTTGAAGTTGCTGCAGTTTTTTTTTTTTGCTTTTTCTACTTCTTTTTACCCCCAAAGTTGCTCTCTGTTTTCCTCTCTGGTTGGTGATCATTATCTTTCTTCATCATCCCACCAGGTGGTAATGGCTCTACTAAAGTACTGGCCAAAGACTCACAGTCCCAAGGAAGTGATGTTCCTCAACGAGCTGGAAGAGATCCTGGACGTCATCGAGCCCTCCGAGTTTGTTAAAGTGCAAGAGCCTCTCTTCAGACAGCTGGCCAAGTGTGTGTCCAGCCCACACTTCCAGGTACCCGATGGGCAATTACAACCGTACCTTCATAACTCAGGTTATTCAGGTGCAGTGGAGGTGGGTGTCAGTACATTCCTGACTGAGGTGTTTTGTTTTCTGTAGGTGGCCGAGAGAGCTCTGTACTACTGGAACAACGAGTACATCATGAGTCTGATCAGCGACAACGCAGCGAAGATTCTGCCGATTATGTTCCCTGCTCTGTACCGCAACTCTAAGACCCACTGGAACAAGTAAGAGACTCAACTGTAGTTTGTCCACACTGTGCTGATGTACGTAAAAGCTCTGTACTTCACACTGGATGTAACACCTGCCTGACACAATAGCTCACATAGTGATATCTCTCAAGTGTGTGTGTAGATATTTGAGCATGGTCACAGAATGTACTCTCCTGCACATCAGTTACAGACTGCACTAGATGTACTTAGCATAAAAGAGGCTGTTTATTATGACCTATAAAGCATTTTGATTGTACCTATTGCTACAGGTAACCATTTTATACATGATTCATTAGTCATTCAGTCACTTATTATAGTTACGTTAATATCTCAGTTTTTAATTATAAAGTTGAAACATTTAGTTAATTAACAGAAACGTCATCAGCAACTTTCTGTATGATGTATATTAATCTAAAAATATTTTAAAAAGGACATTTTTCATATATTTTACTTTATTGTTAATCCATGATATTAATTTAGGTTTGTTGCTGGGGGACGAAATTGGTCTTTACAGCAATGTTGCTTGTGTTTGTAATGATTTGTGTGTTTGTGTTCACAGGACCATCCATGGCCTCATCTACAATGCTCTGAAGCTTTTCATGGAGATGAATCAGAAGCTCTTTGATGATTGCACACAGCAGTTCAGGGCTGAGAAAAACAAGTAGGCACCACAGACTCTACTCCCGTTCAATAAATCATTTTTAAAAAAATCTGTCTTGAGTGACACATAATTACAATCAACCTCAACACTGCAGCTACAGCAGCGCCGGGGTTTCACATTTATCGTTGGAGTGGAACAGATTTGATGACCTGAGGTTTGGTGTTTTGTTCAACAGAGAGAAGGCAAAGTCAAAAGAACGTGAAGAGGCTTGGATCAAGATTGAGAACCTCGCCAAGTCAAATCCACAGGTGAGTGTGTGCAATCATTCAAATATGGCTGTTTTTTCCTTTAGTGTGTGTGTGTGTGTGTGTGTGTGTGTGTGTGTGTGTGTGTGTGTGTGTGTGTGTGTGTGTGTGTGTGTGTGTGTGTGGGTGTGTAGAACTAACTAAAAGAAATAAGTGTCTTTTGTTTTCTGTAAGAATTGTAGTTCCTTTTTCCATCATATCCCATTTGAGTTTGCTTAGACTCTTATTTGTTCATACTGTTCATAGACTTGTTACTTAATGTTTTCCAAATTGCACTGCTGGTAGATCTTGATGAGTGGTCCTGCTCTAATAATGTGCTTAGTTGTGGTGAGTGGTTGAATCAGACATCTCTGAAAGTCCCTCTGAAGAAGTATTTGATTTGAAGTATTTGAAGCTACAGCCGGCAGCCAGTTGGCTTAGCTTAGCACAAAGACTGGGAACGAGGGGAGAAAAGACTAGCCTGGCCAAAGGGAATAAAAATCTAATAAAGTGTAATTCTTGGCGGGATGCAGTAACTTCCTGCAGCGAGGCTGTCACTGTGAGGTTCACCAGCAACTAGTGGAGACTCTAGGATGTCACTGCGCCCAGCTAAGTAATATCTGACACATAACCTCCCTTTTTAAAACAGCACCTTTATACTTCTACAATGTTTTATTGTTTTTATTAGTGAGCTGTAGAGGGGTTGGCAAACATGTTTTGCTATTGTTGGACAGAGGCTAGCTGTTTCCCCTTGTTACCGGTCTTGCTCTAGGCATGTTACAGTAGTTGCAGTACAGAAATGAGAATGGTATCTCTTTCCCAAAATGGCAAACAATTGCTTTAAAATATACAACAGAATAAACATTTTAAAAAGACATCAGTGCAACATGTATGTGCCATAAAAGATTTAGTTTGGACTTGTTGCTACTGTCCCCAGCAACTGATTGACTATCATTTGACACAGTTGCTCTTTTATGGTCAATATTAACTGTAAATCCCAATAAATCATGCATCATTTTGATTCCTACACCTCAACTAAAGCATATTAAACTGCAATAGATCAGAGTTTCCTCTTTTAATTAGTTTAGATTCATTCTTCTTTGCATGCGACTGAAAGTCTTTTCTCCATCCTTTTGTGTTTTTTGTTTTTTTTGTTTCCCTTTGTTTTCAACATAGTTCTCTATGTATGTTGATTCCTCTGACCTCAATAGTCCTGTAGCAATGGAGACGGATATCCCTTTGATAGAAGATGTTCAGAGGTTAAAAAAGACAGTTGAGGAGGGCGCGACTCAGGTAAACCTGACTTTCTCTCTGTCTTTATTCATCTTTCCTATAATCACCCTATATATTAATAGATTGTGTGTTATCAAAGCGTGTAAATCTACTTGCACTACAGTAATTATTGCATACTTTCTGTGTAAATTATAGTATGTTCTTTTGTTTTTGTTTAAAAAAAATAAAAAAAAATAAAAAATCTCAAACTACTAATTAAAAACAACACAAATCTGGCCATGGACTAAACTCTGGAATCAAGAACTTTAATTTTTTGTGCCTGCTTCCACATGCATGTTTAAGTAGTGTGGTGCCCCAAAGTGTTCAATATTATATAATAAATAATAAAAAAATATGTAATTATTGAATAATAAATTGTGTAAAATATATAATAATAAACCAGTAATTCACAATAATATGATAAATTGAAATAAATAAAAAGTGACATTAGGAAAAGTGGTAAGAAATGAAATGTTAAATGAAATTAAAGTATCATTAGGGAAAAAACATGAAATTTAAAATGGCATTTTGAAATACAAACTATAATATAATGAGAATAAACTTTTAAAAAAACTCAGTGATAAATAATTTTATTTAAGAAATTATTCTAAGTCAACTGATATAATAATTTTAAGTTTATTGGGTCATATATATTATATATATATATATATATATATATATATATATATATATATATATATATATATTTGACACAATTTATTTATTTAATTACCATATAATGTATTATTTATTTCAATTTTGATCACTTTGGAGCTCCATAAATGTAGCGCAGGATGTCTTATGTTGTGTGTTTTATTTAAAGTTGTAAAGTGATTTTTGTCCACGTTTGACTGGCTCAGTACATCATATTTTAACTCAGTCTTGGTTTCCCTCCGTAAATTAGATTTTGATGTATGTAACTGAATTGTGCTCGAGCTGCTGTGCTTCATCTCAAAAGATATGATCAGAACAGGGACATGTTGACAGAAGATGATGACCATGATGTTATAATTGAACTCGTCTTGTCTCCCCTTAGTTGCAGCAGGACCAGCGGAAAGAGCGGCCCATGGTGCGACGCAAATCTGAGTTGCCTCAGGATATCTACACCACAAAAGCCTTGGAGTCCCACCGCAGAGCTGAAGACATGTTGACCACCCACGATGGACTCTAGGTCCCGCCACCTGCCGGCTCTTGGTTCAACTGCCCCTTCTACCCTCGACAGCCATGGACATCCTCTTAGCCCAGGTGCCAGAATTACACTGGCGACCCATGTTGGGCTCCCTCCATCCCTCCTGCTATCATGAGTTACCCAGAAATCCTCACTTCTCCTTCATTCCTGCTGCCCCAGTGCAAGCGCCCTTTGTCCGCCTCCCTCAGATTTCTTCTTTCTCAGGTTTTTTTTTTTCTTTATTTGGAGAGGAGCGGGAGTGTGTTTGTGTGTCTTTTTAGCCCTCGTCACATTCAGTGTGTTCTCCCGATAATTTCCCCAATCCGTTCCTCTTGCCTTCTTTCACCTTCCACCCACCCCGTCCCCCTGTGCGCTCACTGTAAATGTGGAACCTGGGAGTACGGACGCCACAGCGCTGGTTCCTTCATTCCTTCGTGCAAACGTGTTCACAATGGATAGGACATGGAAACATAGGAACTGACTGACACACTGTCTAAGGATCGTCTCTTGGTCTCTGCTTGGTTTTCTTTTCTCTCAAAGGGAACAAAAACAGAACCTGTTTGTTGGATGAAAGACAAGACTTTCCTGTCGTCTGTTGTATGTTTTCTTTATTTTTTTGCTCAAACGGACATCTTGTCAGTGCCAAGACCGTTGTGTTCTTTGTTTGTTTGTTTCATGTTTGTATCTGTGACTTTTAACAGGGACACCTGCCTTTTTGTTTTTCACTGGTGTTTGAAAGATTATTTTGTTTTAGTTTAGCACACCAGACCAAACTGAGGCCTGTCCTTAGCCTTGCAATGTCCAGGAAAGATGGCGAGGAAAGGAGAAGTTGTCCTGTGGACATCTGACACTTTCCATTTTATTGTTTTGTGCCATATGCCGCTCTTTTATATGCTTGCTTCCTTATGTTCATTGGCAATATTTGAAAACCAGACCATAGTGATGCCTAGACCGTTCAAACAATGGTACTAACTGTTTTTGAGTTGTAGTAGACGAGGATGAACCTGAATGAAAGCTGTATTTATTTGCTACCTTTGTTGCAGTGGCAATATCCAGGGTTTGGATGTAGCAAGCAGAGCCCTCTGTTGCATATAGCGGCTGCATATTGAATAAAAAGAGGAGGGCGACTGTGGGATGTTCATGGTGGAGTGTTGGGTTTATATATACTGTAAAATGAATAGGGATTATTATCTTTGTAAAAAGGAAATATAATCAGAGATTAGTTTTTGTTGAATGAGAGGAGGCACAGATCTGCACCGTCTCACCTAAAAACTCCACTCACTAACGGTTTTTAGCAGCCGTTACTACATTAGGACCTTTGCTCATTATGTTTCTTTTTAAAGAGCATGAAGGTGTATTGGTACTGTATGCTTTAAAGATTTTAATTTCCTCTATAATTAAAGAAAACAGAAATGTATTTATTATCAAACATAAGAGCCGGTAACCTCAGTAGCTATTAACATACTGACATCAAATGATTAACACGCAAATTACTTGATGAGAGCTACCAAACCATTGACTTCCTTCAAATTTAAAGGCATGGCATGTTTGTGTTGCTACCATTCCTAATTTCAGGTGTTGGGTTTGCGGGTTATGTATAATGTATCCTCCTAGTGAGGGAGTTGTTGGAAAATATCTTCCAGTCAGTACCATTGTTTAAACTTAAGAGGTCTGCTAGAGTTCTTCATATTTGATGTGTTGTATTTCTTTGTCTTGTCTCTGGAGGTTAGTAGCGTGGATGTCAGGTTTAGGATACTTTTTTTTTTTCTGGCCATTCAGGATGCCCAACGCTGAAACACACTGGTATCAAATGGCCACAGAAATGCCAGATGCTGAAAATAAACTGACATTGTGACTTGGCTTGTTAACTGTATTAATACTGTATTTGCTTGAATGCAAAAAGATGTAAATTAAAACTACCATGTTAAACATGTACCTTTTACCCTGGAGGAATGCCATTCACCAAACTGATTGATTTCTGTTGTTGAGGTCATTGCATTTATGAAACAGTCCTGCTTGCTGGGAGAGATGTTTAATGGATTTTATGAGTTCGAGTCAAGAGATTTTTGAGGTTTATTTTAGTGCTGAAAAACAAGTCACCTGTGATAACAAGAGATGATTTAAAAATGATTTGGTGGCTTGTTTTGTTTCTGCAGGATCTTTGCAGATCTTTTAATTTTAACATATTATTTCCAAAACATGATAACTTAAAGTGTCCTTTTGTATGTGACCTGTACTATATGATTCATTTAATATTGTATATATGATTTACCTTGTTTCATGTAGTGTTATATATCTAGATTAATTTTGTACAAATTGTCCCTCTGTACAGAATAAAACATCAATAGCAAGTGAAAGAAGTCAATCTGGCACATACCGTCTTATTTCTTCTGTTCTGGATGTACTTTCAGCGACAAGGATTTAGAAAAATGTTCTTATTTTTATTAAAAATCTGCAAAGTTTCCTCCCTCCTCTATATAACTGACAAATGTTCATGCCCGTTGTGTGCTCCTATCACTGTCTTTAGTGGTGTACAACTATATAGAATGAATAAAGAGATTATTTGAATATATATTTTCAACCATGCATCCATTTTGGCTTTACTTTACTGGAAGGACACAACTTAAATGACCATTTTGAAACATACTAGTATACTAAACTCGAGTCCAGTTGCTGTAACAAAGAGAATAAGACAAGTATTTGCAATGAGGGTGTTTCATGACAGAAGAACTATCAAAATCATGCAACATTATATATTATAAATTATTGTATGTTCTTGATTTGGTTTAATGCATCAGTAATGCCACTAACAAGTAACCACTTTTGCAGTGGGCTGCTTTGAACACAAGGGGGAGCCAGATACCAGAAAATGTACATTCAGAGAATTAACATCTGCAACACTACTTGTTAATGCAGATTGTGATGTAGCGTTCATCCTGCAGGTCTCAAATATCAACACACGTATCATCTACATCTCAACCAAAGCTAAAATGTACACATTAATGAGTCCCTCACATACGCTGCAATGCAAATGTCTGTCTCACTGACTTCCAGCAGCACTATGACAAATAATTCTTATGTGACAGCAACCTAAGGCTTACTATGAAATCATTTTAAGAGGTCCAGTACAGAGTGGCTTTTCTGTGGTTTGGGACAGATGTTTGCCACCAACCAGTGAACAATCCTGAAACTACAGGAACAAAACCCCAATATGTGAACGAGCTTTGTCATCTGGAAGAGTTTCATAACCAAATGGACCTTCGTAACTGAAATAACCAGTTTAACATGTTATGTTATTATTATAATATTTTCAGTTGATTCATATTGTATTTGTGCAGTGCAAAAGTACCAAATGCTACATAAGTGAACAAAATGTGACATTTTGAATGAATGAATTATACTGTGGTATAAAGTGCTCATAAAGTTTTAACTGTAAAAAAAAAGAAAAACTACAACATAATGTTGGACACTCACATTCAGTGGGGTTGTTTAATTTTAAAAAAACATATTTTTTATATATTTTCTAAGATTCATTCAACATTGAAGTAGAGCTGGTATGAAATGAAACAACTTCATTGATTTCAGCTTGATAAATACCACAGTTTGCTTCTTTTCTTTATCTTATACGACAGTAAACTGAATCTCTTTGGGCTTTTGGACTTGTCGAACAAAACAAGCAATTTGAAAATGCCACCTTGGGCTCTGGGCAAATAGCCATTTTTCACCATTTCATAAACAAAACGGTTATTCAGTTAATCAAGGAAATAATCAGCAGATCTATCAGTCAGTGCCCGAGACCAAGGCACTGGCTCAGATCTGAAGTTGGTCCCCAGGCGCTGCACAGTAGCGGCCCACTGCTTCTAGTTCTTAGGAAATGCAGAAAAATCAATAATGGATAACGTATACCTTAACTTAATCAGTAATGAATTCAGCATTGAGTTCAAGCATATTCCCAATAAGTATTTAAATGAGTGCACTACTAGTACTAGTGAACTACTGCATACATACTGTAAACATTTGCAGACACAAGGAGAGACCTGTTCAATGTCATTAATCAATTTAATGGAGTTCTAAATAATTAATACAGACACTATCATTCTTACAGATAAAATCAGAGCAGATTACATTTAAGGAAGGGATGTGAGTGAGCAAAGCTCCTTCGTAGGAAGAGATGAAGGATCAGGTTTTTCTAGGAAGAGGAGAAAAAAAAGGATCAACCCTTTTTCTATTACAACACGTGCTTTATGGATTACTTCCTGTTTCAGTAATGAGAGTGTTTTTGTTTTGATGTTGTTGGCCTTGTACTTCTGCAACAGTTGGCTGTAGTAGCTTATCTCCCAATGCGGATAGAGTATTAAATCTTGGATGTTACACGAGGTGAAGGTGAAGCCGTGAGTCACAAAGGATTGGTGAGCGGAAGGCCAATTGTAAACAAGGGGATGATTTCAGGGAAACCAGACATTTGTTGTTTCCCCTAAGACATTTCCGCAAGATTTGTTGCCTTGTCCCGAGCTGACACTGCTGATGGAAATAAACCTGGAATACACAGTTGGCCTCAAGTACAAATGTTGTAAACCTACTTTCTCCTTTACTGCATAAAAAGAAGGTAAGCGAGAAACAGGGATTTGATGGTATTTGAACATAGTTCTGTTAGTTGTTCAGAATTGTTCAGAAGTGAAGAACACATCCAAGTGTCATTCTCAACTTTTCTCTGTCTAATTATTAATGCAAATATATGAAGAAAACACAACTTTTAAAATATGTATGAAAATGAGTAGTGCACTTATCTGAAGTTTGTTTCCTACCATCTCAGATTTATGTCAGCCATTGCACCTACTATGCATGCGAAAACTAAAACGTTACAAACCCACAGCTCCTCATGGTTAAGACACACTGTTGTCCAACCAGTAAAAGGAATAGGTTACTCTCAGCATTTACCGGATGATGAACTAGTGCTCACCCATGAAAACCACATATTTATTTACTTTTCTCTTGTCTCTGGTAAAGACAATTTCATCATTTGACAGTTGTTAATTATGTGCATCCCCTTAAACAGTTGCTTACCATCATTCTGTATTGAGTCCTGATGTGTGAAGAGTTAATACGATCACATGTATCTCCGCACTAGAAAGTTTCTTTTTTTAGCTCTTCTATTCATTCCAGCACAGCTGCAGGCCGGAGGAGAACTTCTCAGTGAGTTTAAACTACTGACTGTGCATTGTCAGTCTGTAATCACATGAATATTCCCGATACATAAATATATTTAAATGATGAATGAATAAAAGCTGATGCACAATAACACAACCAAAGGACTGAAAATTCTAACTGAAGTTGGTCTACTCACTCAAACATAAATACACATGATTACATTACAAAACTGAAAACAGAATATTACTAAAGTAAGGCTGGAAGTGAGTGAAACTGTAGCTGAGGCATTGTACTAAAACAATACAAATCCATATAATATGGAGTGGAGAGCCTGAATGTGGGGATTTAAATTGTTGTGACATACATAAACATAATACCAACGTTATAAAAACTTATGTGACGCCGGATGTGCTTTACAGCAGTCTGTACTGCAGCTTGGTGGGGATGAGACGCAGTGTGTGCAGCTGCCAATCTGCTCTAAGCAGAACGCTTTAATATGCTGTGACCCCAGTGATAATGAAAGATTATCAAAGCAATTTCTCCCTCTCTATCTTCCCACATATTAATCGTGACCCAAAGTGAACCTGCAGCCAGGGTGTCACTCTGTTTGCTTAACTTATCCAAGTGTCTCTGTTTGGGACTTGTTTTCTATCACAGAGAGATGGATTAAAAAGAGAGAGACTGTATCATTGCATGTCTTCAGGCCTTCTTTGTGGTTCTTGTGATGTTTCTTTTAACAGTTGTTTTGCTAACATAGCGTACCATGAGCATACTGGCGGGCCTATTATCAGATATGTGCTGTATTTGGCTATGTGCCAGAGTGACTATCGGGGCTCTGGTGTTCATTTTTCCAACGAATAAGGTTCTGCAATGATGGAGCAGAAAATAAGACGGCAAAATGTTTGCCACTTCTATAACACCTACCTACTAGGTGCCAATGAAAGAAACAATATCACCATGAAAAGGCAAAACCCCCTGAAAATGCTAGCTTCCATCTTCAAGGAATTTAACATTACATTAGCTGGTTTTGTTGGACCTGTAATGTGTCTGAGAAAAAAATGTGATACTGAAATTCATTCTTACAGATTCAGGTCAGAGACCGACATGCTCTCTCAAATCCCACTGCATCTCCTGGGCTTGTGTATCTCAGTGTATTGTTGCCAAGCTGTCCTCACTTGCACTACCTGACTCACAGGTGGCTCAGAGCCAAGACTGACAGACTGCTGGAAGGGAAACCTGCCGCCATCACCCAGCTCATAGACAAAACGTTAAATCCCCTGCATACCTGGGTTGTGTGTGTTATTTTTGCTTGTTCACTTTTCTTAATTGCTGCATATACATTTCAGAGGACAGAGAGGATTGTGCAAATAACAGGCAAAAACTGGATTTACTATAAAGATACATACAATTTGCAAGGTGAGTTTTGCTATACGACTGCAGAACACGGTTGGAGATGTTTGTGGTTGTTCTCTCAATTAATTTAGTTTGTTCACAAAACTGTTCATGATTTTAAGAGTAGAGATCAATCCATAAGGATTTTCAAGGTTTTAATCTTTGTTGACTCCAATTAGTTGACCACCAAAACCTTAAATAAAAGATCAAAGTAATGAATAAACTGCATTTCAGTTTGATTCATCTTCATTCATCTCCTTCTGCTTCTCTCCTGATAGGGTAAGGTACTTCCCTATTCATCAAACTGCATACTACAATCTGTATTTTTGGATTATTAAAAGGCATTTTGCCTTTATTTCTAAAAGGTGACAGCAGAAAAGCACGGGTTCTCATTATAACAATATATACTTAGATTACCATTATAAGATTATAAATGTCAACGGAACAAGAAGATTTATTGTTTCCTCTTATGTGCTCTTTAATTTAAATGTCTGTGCAATCAACTACATGCATGACAGGGCTAGTGAAGCTGTAAAACAAGCTTTGGAACAATTACTAATCTCATGATGGAGGATGGTTTTCACTTGACAGGACATTTGAACTGCAAACAAATTGCAGAGTTTCATTTCACAATCCAACCTGCCTGAGCTATTACCTAACTGGGGACTGAAAGAAAAAAGTAATGTTGTCATGAAGACTCATTCATAAGCTCTTTATTGTTGAGTAATGAATAAACTAGTGTACAGTTCATCTCTGGACTCTGCTTCACTGTCATTTCCTGAACGTGAATGACATTTTTAAGTAGAACATGAGTCAGTCTGGAAGACCTTTTGAGATGTTGACATTAATTGGCAGTGACTGTGATAAAACCTGACAAGTTTCTGTGCACCTGACTTTTGTGTACCCTCTGGTGTTAGGCGGCCACAACACACACTACCCACCGATCATTGCTGAGGAGTATTATGCAGTGTGTTGCAGGAGACTTTAATTTCTCAAAATGTAATTTCCTTCTTGTCATGAAAAATGTGGTATTTTAAATTGCATGAAAGCAGCCACTGAAATTGAGTTTATTGAGCTGCCCCAAAGGTACAAAGTTGCTTTAGTCAAATAAAAAAATTATAAATTGTAAAGGAATCTTGCTCTTTCTCTAGTCGCCCTTACTGCTCTCCACACTAATCATGCATCAGTGGTGTCTATGGGATGCACGGTGACGTTTTTCAAATGAGCTTTTACGAGGAAAAATTGTAACATGAGAGGTATAAAACAGGCACCATCTGTCTCCTGAGCAGTCTTGTACCTACTGCAGGAATCATGATGATTTCTTTCCTCGTGATATGAAAGAAAATAATCCACTCAAAACATGTGCCGTGGAGGTTTGCTCACCTCAGAAGCCTTTCGTGAGATGCAGCCAGGCGTTTGAGGCTTCCAGGTTGAAGTCCTGCCTTGATCCTACAGGGGGAGGTGTTACTCTGCAGGGACTGGACCCCGAGCCTGTAATGAAGAGAAGACCAGAGTTGCAGGAAAGGGCAGCTGAGGTGAGTGGCAGCCACAGCCTAAAGTCTCAACACAGCCCCAGCAGGGTAATCTAATCAGCTGTTTCAGAGACTTTCTTGGCCTCTGCATCTCTCTCTCTCTCTCTCTCTCTCTCTGTCTCTCTCGTCCAGGTAATGAGAAGAGCTCATTCCTCATTTTCAAGTGATGCGCCTCATCTCATTATCGTCAGTCAGGTATGTAGAGGTTTGAAAACTGATAAACACGGCCAGCTTTTCCCAGCAGTCAGACATGCTTTAGTGATTTTAATCTCTGCTTGTCTTGTAGGTGAAATTGCCCTTCATATGAGGGATTGTACCTACATCTGATGGTGTTATTATACTGCTGTTTCCCCTTGCTTTTAAACCACTTTAGTGTAAAGTAATTGCTATTACCGTACTGTATTCAATTTCAAGTGGCATTTCTCAAGACCCACATCTATACAAAGCTTTAATCTTGATGTATAGTTGATAACTGGTAGCCTTCTCTCATACAGTATATAATCTTTCAATCACAATGCACAGTAAGGTTAAAGATACAGTACATATAATATTTCAATTGCACAGCTAGCACTTGCTGTTAACATAATGGCCTCATAAAAAAATTGAAAGAGGTTAAAAAAATAAACCAAAGCAAAACAATATTACAGCTACTGGACATTCAATATAAATAAACATTGGTGCAATCAACAGTGTCAACAGGAAAAAGCAATTCAATGACTCATTCTCAGACGTTTTAACACATATATAGTTATAGCCCAGCTAATTTTAGGGACATGTTTGCTGACCGAGCTGCGTGGACACAAAACATCTGTTGTTGGGTCATGAAGCAGGAAGAATGACAGTATTTCCAACAGAGAAAGTCAGCTGGAACCAAAAATATCCTTTAATGAGAGTGGAAATCCCATGATCAGACTGGATCAAATTGTGTTTGTGTTGGGCAAACAACTTGCAAAAAAAAAAAAAAATATCCACAAACACTGGTTAGAGATGGTTCAACCAACCTTATGACCAGAATGGAAATTTCTACATTTTCTCAAGTCACAGAGAGACTTACCACAAACTATTTAACACCTTCAGATCTCTGCTGGCACCCTGAAGACAGGACCCATGAAACACAGTAACAACGGTGGGGAACAGTGCATTGGTGAAATGCAGAGACCCTGACCAAGAGACTGTGTGGAGTGGGAAAGGGTCAAAGGTCATATACCAGGAGTCAGTTGATGGAGCTGTGGTAAGATCAAGGGGGCCAAAGAGGCAATCTTTGAACTGAGACGAGGATGCCTCCACCACCAGAACGCCTGCTATCAAGTCAATGAAGGCCCAGTGTTAGGGACAGAAATGTGACAGATGTAGCCTGTTTAAGGTCAGTCAGAAACAGTGACCCAATGACACAGTCTGTCCACCAGAGAGCACCGACAAGTTTATGTTTCAGCTGTAAAACCCTGCTCAGCGCACATATGAGATCTTTAAGAAAAAGGTTTATGTTATATAATTTTGGTATCAGCATCAAAAATTGGTCAAGCTTTGAGAGTTCAAAGCTCCCGAAAAGCCAAAACGGACATAGCTTTAAGATTTTTTTGTTGAACTACTGTCAGTGTAGCACTCTGAGGTGCAAATGTAAGACGTCAGCCTTTTTGTCACAGTACAAAATGCACTGGTGCAACTAATAGTATTAATGATGGCTCTGTTCATTTTCACAAGTTATTACAATAACCAATAAATGGTTCACATAGCCTACAACTGATGGCCTGCTACACCCAATAATGTCACACTGTAGCATTACAGAGGCCTATAACCTTCATGAATGTAGTAATGTTCAGTTCTTAACTTTTTTAAAGAGGTTTGGATTCAACTGTATGCCATTTTTTTAGACCACCCATCAGTGAGGGTATTAAAAGGCTGACAAAAAGAAACACCTCAACGTTAACTGTTACTAACGTTAATAATGACATTTAACAGCACCACACACACGAAATGATCATAAAGTTGAATTAACACCTCTCTAAAACAAAACTTTTATTTTCTTTAAACATTATTTACCTTCATGAAGGTATGGTCTATCACAAGACTGCTGTGTGTCAGACTGGGTTAGTTTTAGCTATGCTTACCTGATAAACTGGCACCTCGGTGTATATCAAACACACTTTTCAATATGGCGGGTCATTTAAACTGCGGCGGCTTTGCCTCTGCTCACTCTTTTGCGTTGCTAGGCTACGGCTGCCCTGCTGATGTAGGATGCCACATTCAAGATCACCTGCCAACGGTGGGAGCACGTCGCTTCAGGTCGTGAAAAATATTCGGTGCTCACGTTGTTTAACTAACTCGGTTTATCGGTGTTTCCACGTACCAGTTAACAAACTCAAACGCCACTTCCAGCTGAGATTTGAGATTTCCTGTCCTGCTGTTGGACTTTTGCTCACCCCAAGTATAACTGCCCCACTTCAAAAAGGTAAATATTTGCTGCTCATGTTAACGTGTGTGTGTGTGCGTGCCTGCGTGTGCATGTGCATGTGTGTGTGTGTGTGTGTGTGTGTGTGTGTGTGTTGTGAGTTGTTGATCTTGGTTCGGGTCAGAGTTTCTGTGCTATGCTTTGGTGTAATTGTGAATTGGCTAATTTGTTGTAGTTGCTGAGCTTTTGGCTGTTGGTTGTTGTTTGGCACACATTATGATGCTTCCATGCTGCTGATTAGTGGTGACATTTGAATAGCATTATCTGTTGTGTCCTGAATTGGTAATTGGTATGAATTGGGCACATTTCCCCCTGGGGGACTCCTATTGGGTCTGCAGAAGAGGGTACTATAACATTGGCTAACATTATGTAAATATATCTGTTATCTTGGTCATTTCCTGTAATATTGTCTCCACGGAAAAATGTTTTTAAAAAGTGCTCTAGAAAAGTAAGCTACTGCGGTTTATTCTGCTGCCACTTTTGGCTGAACTCCAGTGGTGTAGTGGTGCCTGAAGAAGTGAGTATACTCTTAATTTATGCCCCAGTTTGTTTTATTTTAATCGGCTCGTCCAGCAAAGGATAAACTCCCTGCTCTTGCATATTTAGCTTACCAAAAAATGGGCCAGTAGTATTTGCACATTGTCACTTCTGCTCCTTGTCTTCAGGGAGTTCAGGATCAGTATGAAATTAACATTAGCCGCAGAAGGGGGGGCAGATTTTGCCATAAATGCTGGCCTACAGAACAACTACTTGTGAGACAACTACATAAAATTATGCATTTTGAGTAAAGTATTCTTTATTCCTTACTCCATCCATTCTTGAAAACCTGGAAAACTGTCATGCCAAAAAAGTCGGCTTGCAGAACACTACTGAAGGATGCACATAAGAGGGGAAGTCAATATACCCAATGCCAACTGAAAAATAAGTGGGTATACTTCGTATACCTGCGTATATCCTTCACTACACCACAGATTGAAATCCATTATAATCATCACTACCAAATATTTGCTTGTGGACGGGAGCCTACATACCAAATATCAACTCTGCACAAACTAGAGCTGCAACAATTAGTCGATTAATCCATTAATTGTCCACTATTAATCGGCTGCTATTTTAATAATTAATTCATCTGTTAGAAAAAAGAAAATTGTCCTAATTCCTTGATTGCAGCTACTCAAATGTGAATATTTTCTGGTTTATTTGGCCCTTTTATGACAGTTAACTGAATATCTTAAAGTTGTAGACAAAACAAGACCTTTAAGGACGTCACCTTGAGCTTTGGGAAACAATGATCAATATTTTTCACTATTTTCTGACATTTTATGGACCAACCAACTAATCGATTAATCGAGAAAGTAATCAGTAATTGCAGCCCAAGTACAAACTTTGTATTCACATTATTAATCCATAATATGCTAACAATATAAAAACATACTTTTTCCTTGGGGCTGTATATGGACAGGTTTTTCTGTAAATGGAGAGTTTTGAAAATTTTCAGCATTTTTTTTCTTTTTCTTGCTGAAAGATACCTGAACTGTCATGTTTCAAGAATGCTTCCATCTCTCAGTAGAGGCCCAGCAATGTACGTTTATGTATTCAACCAGTGTTTAAGGTAAAATTGCTATGAAATGCCTTCTAAACTAGGAGGTAGTGTTTAGCGTAGAAATGGTGTTATAAATTGGTATGAGCCTTGAGATAATTAATTTGAGATACAGTATAAAATAGAAACATGGTTAAGTTTAAAGACACTGAGATGTGTTTTAGTTATCAGTTTAACAGTTTTCTTTGGTTGTATTAAAGTTTCTTAATTAACTAATCCTGAGCAGACCTGCACAAAATGTACTGTGTGATGACCTCTTCAAACCTGAAATAAACAAGGCTTAGCCTTGCTCATTCCTCAATGAGCTTTTGTTTTGCATTTTGCTCAGTGGGTTCATGCACTAGCAGCACCCAGGAGGACTTTAAGCGTTCAAATCAGAGCCGAATGAATTACAACAAATTAGAAACACATTTCCACATGCCTTTGTGTATTGTTTACAACTAACTTGAATGTAATTTTTATGTCATTTTGTGCTTAAGAGGCACTGTGTAGTGTTTGACACACTAAACCTCAACAAAAATAAAGTGGGTGGCTGTTTGGGTTTTACCACGATATTCTGGTTTCAGAGATTTCAAACATGAAAAATAACAAGACATAAATAAGGTAATTTTCTTTTGACACATAAAAAACAACGTCTTAAGTAATCAGGACTGTTAATCTCAAAACATACATTGACAATCCATCACATTTTTATTCACATTTCACCCAACCTAAACTCATTACCGCAACTATCCAACATAACAAATAATTGTCTGTATTTTTGAAAATTTTTAACAGGCTTGTACAGAGTTACATGAATCTCTTTCATTTCATGGAAAACTGAAATAACAAAACTGAAATATTCTTCGCACAAATTGAAAAGCAAATTATTACTTGTTAATTAATTAACCTCTCAAGTAGCACCTGTTTTGGTAATTCTTGCACAAGGTCAGCAAGTTTTTCTATTGATATGTTTCTTCTCAGGTTCTTTTATAAAGTTTAGTGTGTGTGTGTGGGTGTGTGTGTGTGTGGGTGTGGGTGTGATACAAATAAGTTACTGTCTGTGTCTCTGTTCACATGACATGAACCATTGTGCAGTGCAGCATGCATGTAAATTTGACTGGCACTAAATCGGATGTACAAATAAGAGACAAATCAAAAGGAAAAACCCACAAAAATTGTCTCAGTAAGGTGTTGAGCAACAGTGTGCTGCCAGACAAGCCTCAGTGCACCTTGGCATTGACTTTAGAAATCTCTGGAACTTTACTGGATGGATTAACTCCATTCTTCCGAAAGATATTCCCTCTAGGGATGCACAATATGGATCTTTTTTTCAGCCAATACAATAACCGATATTACCTGCTTCTCATGACCAATACAGATAATGTACCGATAATTTCAAATTTTTCTATTTTAAAACTAAGTTCATAAGCTGTAGTTTTTACACCCTTGATGGTAAGACAAATCTAACTGACATCACAGTTCTGATCCTTCGAATGTTTCATCGTAGGATAAAGGTGATCAATCAGAACAACATTATATTGATTTGTGGTGACCCTTCCCGTTAAGTAGACCCAAACCATGCTACCAAAATTCCCCCCACAGCGTACCAGAGCCACCAGGTCCCCTCACCGTTCTCTTGGTGTACGGCACACATGCACTTGTCCACTTGTCGGGAATATGGTGAAGGATGACTCATCTGACCGTATCACTTTTCTTCCCACATCTCTGTAGACCAGAGCATATGGTTTTTGCACCACTGAGCTCTCAAATGTGCATTCATCTTTGTAATGCAGGGTTTATCCACTGCAACCCTACTATAATATCCCTCTGACAAAATCAGAATCAACTGGGCATGCCCAACATTTTTATACGCCACAGAGCATGATTGGATGTTAATTGTTTAATTCTACCATGCAATGCACCTGTGTGGAAGCATCTGTATTCATTATTTTTCTCCACTCATTTATTGTGTTTTTTTGGGGGTTTTTTTATTTGTCACCTGTCAATGTATAAATATATGAGACTGATCCAGTCACTGGCCAATCGATCAGTGCATCTCTGATTAAATCCCTCAAAAATTATTTTTCTTATCTCTGCCCATTGTTGACAGTTCTAGATTAGTTTTACTGTCCTATATAAGTTTTCATTTTTACCATCAAATTTGACAAAAAAAGAACTTAAAAGATATGGAATATTTTGTAGATTGCAGACCACACTCCATTCAGTCATGTCAATTCAATTCAATTCAATTCAATTTTATTTGTATAGCGCCAATTCATAACAGAAGTTATCTCAGGACACTTTTCAAATAGAGCAGGTCTAGACCGAACTCTTTAAAACATTGTCAGGACTCATTATATCAGAATAATAACACGCATATTGCAATAAAGGTACTAATAAAGTAAAGTAAAGTACTATTTATGCAGTCACAAGGGGCAGCCAGCTTGCTGAGTTTTTAGTACCACTGTAAACATGCTTCCAATGAGTTTCATTCAGTTTAAATTTGAGAAAAAGAAAGCACCGGTGTCAGCAGATACTCTGACTCTTAGTATCTGGGGAGAAAAAGTTGGATTGTTGTATCCCTAGTTTGAGATTAATGTTACAGAACATCGAGTAGTGCATTATCCACTAGAAAGAATATTAAATTTCTATTATAAGAAAATAGCTTGTGTGTCAGTTGCAGCCATTGACGTCAGTGGCTTCCGTCTTATCCGCTAATTCTAAGCTACATTATGGGAATTGTGTTGTATTGCTGTTGAAGCGTTCTTCATTCATTTAATTAACTGAATGACAAAAACTCAGTTGTTTTTGTCAAGTAGAAATTAGACATATATCTGTTAACAATTTCTACAGATGATTTAAGCATTGATGGAGAAAATGTTCAAAATACTGACTAATGATTATCTGGCGTGCACTCCTCCTACATGCAAGCTGTTTTTCTGACATTTCCTGTTATAGCATTCATGTCTCCTGCTGATCTCTCCATATGGTTTATATGTTTGAGTTACTGCACGTGTTCTGTATTCGGGCGCTCGCATATCTCACACATCTCCTCCATCACTTCCCTATCTGAGATGAAAGAGAATGTTAAAGGAGAGCATATTTCAAAGTTAATGACGACCACTGATCAAAAATGTTGAAATCTGTAATCATATGGAAGCCTGCACACTTCACAAGGCATCTACTATGTGACAATCATCTGAAGGCATGCAATGGTGATGTATACTGCTTTATAAATATTGCTTGAATGTGGGAGGTTAATAGGTTGAGCTTTAATTATCATGTTAATGAGAAGGCAAGATGTTCACACTGACACCTCAGTAATGACCATGCTTGCTGAATTATATACATGCACATCCTATATGGTGTGACATACTGAAAATGTACGTGTGAAATTTGAACTGAAATCCAGAGTCATTGAACTATTTATATGCCCTTCCATAATCTGCAGTGACTCCCAAAATATGAGGATGTGGG